ATGATGTTATCATCATGCTTTGTGATTAGTTGAGAGTGAGATTTCGTTCTTAGAGTTGATTCCTTCGATCATGAAGTTGTCATTGTCTTTCTAGAAAGATACTTGTCTTGACTTATAAGTTATTTATCATTTGTATATGCTCAGTTTAAATTATTTAATTGAAAAGTGTTTAATTGTTTGATAGTAAGCGGTGTCATACATTTATCTAGACTTCATAGTATAGACTGAATTCTTTTAATCAATTCGCAAATGTGGACACTAGTGTCTAAGCGACTCAACATTTTCTGCATTGCTTTTTGACGATGGATGGTTGGAGACAATAATCAGGATGCTCTATATAACTAAATTTACTACTCAGTAATAGATAAACCACTGTTTCATAGTTTAAACTGAATAAAATTCTACAATCTCCATAAATTCTTGTATATTAATGATAATCACACTCAGTTCCTGGAGTTCTGGTGAGAAGCTATAACCTATGGAGTTCAACTACGCCGGACGTGAGATAATCATCCATCTCAGACAACAGATGACTGAAGTTAGATATGTACACAATTAGATCTATAGGTTCAGAGTTTTCATGTATGATTGGAGGTTGTGGGTTTTATGCCCGGACGAGGGCTGGTAGATGGGCACTGTTGAGGAGTCCCGTAGTAGGACGAAACGGCCGTTTGGTGCTTCCAGATTTTCAGTGGTGGTCTATCTAAGATAAGTTTGTTATTCAACCTATTCAAAAGCATTCTGTCAATACCATATAAAATCATCGCGAAATTTATTTCTGTTAACAAGTGGTAACTTGAATACTTTCTTTCATTTCGACCATGATAAACAATGAAAATTATATTTAAAAAATTCGTTAGCATGACATATCGGCAGAACTACTTTACTTCTTGTTCTGATTTAGGAAGGGTTGAATAATTTCCAAGGTATACTGGGTAACGAAAGAGCTTAACACAGATACTGCTGTAGTGAACGAGAGCACAAATAGGGACAATCAAGTGTATTTTGAAAAACTACAGAACCTCTTGGTAAAATCCAGGAATCATACAGTAAATACTTCATTTGCAAAATGTCAATCAATTGTCTCATAACTGACTGTTCCCTCGTTTTCATATCAATCTCTCTCCGTTCCTGTTCTTTTTTCTTTGATTTTCTCAATCTGCCACCGGGCATTCCACCTTCGATTGGTGATACATACTACTTATATCTGTCGACATCAGTAACACACAACACACTACGTGTTTATGGCTAGTAATATGTTATTGAATAGATTATTTTTATGATTTTTTCCAACTTCTAACTTCAACAGTAACCCTCACAAACATAAGACAGAAATATCACTATATCTCATATGACTTTAAGTTCATTCATATTCATTGCACTTTCCGATTCATAGATGAGTGTTTCTTCATTAAAATTGGGCATTCGCACACGTTACTTATCCTGATTTGATATACTGAGATAAATATCGTTTTATAACTATTCGTACATCATGACCTTGGTGTTGCTTTCTCGATCCTCTGTAGTATGAAAGTGAACCTTCCGAAAACTAATGAATTATTTAGTTATTACTACTATCAATAATAAAAGGAAAGAATCAACAGTCAATCATCGCCATTCTTATTGTGTATTTAATTTATAATCAAAGCAGTGAAGAAAAATAGACATGCTCATTAAAAAAAACAGATCAGTACGGACCATCTAAGTTACAACATAATGCTAAGGCTATCAGAAGATTACTTAACAATTTGTTAATAATGTTAAACTATCATTAAGAATGTTAACCACGATTGCATTTTTACTAGTTCCGTCTTTCATACGATCTTGGCTCCTTTCTGATTGGTTTGCAATTGAAAGTCATGCGTTTGTCATTAAATATATATATACTGATTTGTACCATTTCAAGTTGTTCTGGTTGAACATCAAGTTTCCCTAACACTTCGTCTTCTTCCTGCATTGAAGGAGAATTGTCCAGGTGTTCTATGCCATTTGCCCTTATCGAGTAAGCAACAAGACTGGCTCAATCGTTCCTTCACAAGCAAACATTCGGGACTGACAACCAAAGGACGGAAAGGTCTCAATTGCATGATACTCGATACACTGATACAAATATCTTGCTGTTATACTCTTGACTATTTCATTCATTTCGGCTAAAATGCTAGTCTTTATCCATGTTATCCATGCTCATAACTTAACTAAGATGGGAAGCTGCGATCGTGTAGTTAATCATTTTAATTGTACGAAAATAAATAACTCATGTATTATATTGGTAAAGTATTGTCAGTTGGTTAGTAAGTTATGATCAACACAGAGCTTGGGATAAGTATCTGTTAGCTCAAGTTGTCATGCCGCATATTAGCCAAATGAGATAAAACTGGGATGATGTATGGTGGATGCGATCGATAATAATGTTATAGTAATGACAACGATAAAGACTAAACATTGAGAATATGGTTCGCAAAAGCAGAATGACAAGATTTATGTAGAGGAATGAAAAATGAAGTTCAAGATATAGTATAAGATAAATAGTGAATGTATCTACGCTAACGTGAACGATTATCAGCCATATCATTCAACGTCTCCAACCACTGGTCTTGGCAATTGCATGGATCCTAATCACATGGTCTGCATCTACAAACATGGGTCAGATCCACAGTCAGTAATTTCATGAACTGATGACGAGTTTTTGGTTGGGTAACCTCTAGCTTCCTTCCAACTTATTTCTACACCGGTTAATACAGCATATCGGCGTAGGTGATGGTCAGGGAAGCGTAACACATATCCCAACCAGCTTAGAAAAAGAAAATCCACAGCCTAATCGACCGATATGCACCACATTATACCATAAAGAGACTGAAGTTGAACTGTAGACCGACTGGATCAGAATGCAATAGCTTAATGATATTTTGCTAACAGCGGAATCCAAATCTTTGGATTCGAGATCCCAATGTGAAGTCATTAATGAATATCGCGGAAATAATGACGTGAATTTTGTGTTAGCTGTTTAATCTTCCGTACATTACAGTGGTTTCCCAATTTATGCTACTCTATGGCAAATAACCAAATCATTTACAGAATACATCTTTAGACTAGTATCTACGTATTTCCACTTTATTTGTAAGATTTTTTCTTATATTTTTTCAGTTTCTACAAATGAAGATACGATGTCCTAGAAGTCAACTGTCTTCTTTGTTTTAGTTTGATCCTGTTAATCTAAATCTTCATAGAATCAAGGATTTTTGTAGTTCTCTGAATTCCGATTCAGATATTATAATTGAATAAGATACATGATTAGTGTGCCACAAAAGAACTCGATTATCGTTAAAAATTAAGCTAACAACAACTTCACTAGTCCTTATACTGAATTTGGTGAAATTTATTGGACTGTAAAGGGATTAAAGTTTCTAACTTCTTATTCGATTGTTACTAATATGTAATAATTTATAATGACATGTAGAAAGTTTCAGATGAATCGAAAAATAAGTCAAGCCGTGGTACGGTCGAGAGTGGGGAGAGTTCGCTCTGCTTCTCGAAATGCTCTCACATGGCGACGCGTATATAGCCTCTGCCACGGAAGTCCTACTCAATACCTTCTCGTGGTGGGGATGTTGTTTACAAAATTGAGAGGACGAAAAGCGAATGTCCGACGCTTTAACCAGGTTGATGGCCGCGAAGAGTCCACCTAGGGGAGTTGGAAAACCCTGGTTCCAAACGAATGGTGTATATGGGCTCCAGTACCCTGAGGGAACGAATGGCGTATGAACCCATTGTTGGCCACCGGCTTCCATGGGACTGCATCTCCTTACGATGCTCACTACCTTGTGGATCAGACCTCCAAGTCGAAGGCTCGGAGTGTGGCCCCCTAAGAAAACCACCTGTTTCGGTTCGGGCACCCGGGCAGTATCACAGCCCTCACACATGTCGAATGAGATTTGTGTGGCGCATATATATTTGATGTCTCCTTGTACCAATATCTATGTGTTGAAATACATAATAAGTAAATAAATACAAACCAATAAATATTTCTTTTAGAAATGTTATTATTATTATCATTATTATTATTTTTACCCTCAATGGTTCCTATCTTAATTTCATTCACTGTTATTGCAGGGGAATTCCATGTTGTATCCCCAACCAAAAAAAAACATCCCAACATACACGTTAAAAGCATTTTCTTATACACTTTATGAACTATAAGACAATTAATTAATATCCTTGACTAGTCATTTTACTTGCCCAATCATGAAACTTTCCGAAGGTCAAATAACATCAGACCAGATATCTGCTCAGCCCATTAAAACTATTCGGGGGTGGATATGATTGGATTGGTTAAGCGGGTGAAAAAATGATTGGTTACATTTAACAACAACAACAAACAAACAAAAAAATTGTGGGAGCCTGGATATATCCAATGTAAGTTTGTGGCACGTGTGCTAAATGTGTTTGTTTGTATCTATCTATCTATATATATATATGCATACATACATATATATATAGTGTGGTAAGTGAAATTGTTTACGAAATTAAAGAATGAACACACAATTATAAACGGAACTATATTTAAACTCTAAGCAAAGGTAGTTTAGTAGACACACTTATTATCGACATGTTTATATATATATATATATGTATAATGAGACCATTGAATTAGCAGCACTAAATGTGTATACATGTCATGCTTTTGAGTTGATGTCTGGATTGGTTGTCAAAATTACAAAAAAAATCATTCTAATTTACTTAGCCTTGGCAAAATTTAGGTCATTTATTTGGTCTTATATATATATATATATATGTGTATGGTTAGTTGTATAGTTGTCAACAGATTAAACTTAAGCACACGTTATGCAATATTCATTTGGATTCATGGAAAGAACAAACAAATAATAAACATTATTATTATTATTATTATTATTATTATTACTAATCCAGGTTTATAATAATATAATATTAGAACATATGGTACTAAACCACAGTTTAATTGTGGTGTGTTGTTGTGTGTCATGAGTCATCATTATTCAATGCAATCACAATTTCTATCGTCATCGTCATCATCATCATCATCATCATCATTATTATTATTAACAGACAGATCAAATATTACTCATTCTAATACTGATCTAATTATGGGAAATACTGTTCCGTCCTCTTTTCTTGAAATGAATTTAACCCAAACAGCAAATGGTTTATTAAATAATAATAATAACAATAATAGTAATAACGATGTGGATTTGAATCGTCAAACTCGTGTAAATTTAACAGATGATAATTCACAATGTAAATCACCATTATGGATACCACCTGTTACACCATATACATTACTTGGTTTATTAAAACCTCATTTAACACAATCTAGTTTACTTGTTAATAACAATACAACACATCAAATACAACAACAAACAAGTAATGGAACACTTATAAATACAAAATTATGTGAAGATTCAATAGGACATCAACCATTTCAACAACAACAACAACAACAGTCTAATGTAAAACAATCACAACAGCAAATCTCATCAATGTCTGCTTATCTTTCGGAACTTTTGAATCAATCTCAAACATCGATAACAACAACAACAACGACTAGTGGGAAGAATTCAGTACATGGTGAGTTCAAATTGTTTTATTGTCATAGTATTTATTTATATTGATGTTTACATGTAGTTAAAATTACATAAAGTTCAAACATTTTGCCATTTACTTAGTAGGTGATTGTTACATATTAAATTTTTCACTAAAAGTTTCATATAAAGTTATCTACCTACAATATCTTTTATGAACGCACTACTGTAGAGCGCATACCAACATTCCAAATGAGAAAAAAAAATAAGTAAATAGAGTGAAAGTTAGAGCTTGTAATGATGATGTTTTCAGTGAAATTTATGCTCTTATATACAGTATTTACTCAATGAAAATGCTCGATACTTCATGTATATTGAACATTGAAAAATAAGACACGCTGCAAAACCATACAGATATGTAATTTATCTCTTTATTGGGTTAAGTTGTAACAATTCCCATGTACTTTATAAATTGTATGCTGATAAATTATAAAATGACATTTTGCTTATTTATAAAATCCGTGTCATTCGACAAACAATTAATATCTATAGATAAATAGAAAGAGAGAATCCTAGTTGCAAGTTGTGTTACTCATCTCAACAGTAAACCAGAGAAATCATCCATCAGCTTCCAAGGTATATAACACACAGTGATAACATCATTGTGGGCATAGATCTCAGTAAACTTTCATTTGGCTTTTTTCTTTCAGTCATTTGCTAATACACACCATAACAAATACTCAGTTTATTTTATTTTTAAACTGATGTATCTTAGTCGGAATTGGATGGATAGAATATGACCGATATATATTATCATCTATAGGTTAGTCTATATAAATTTAAGTTACACCAACAATATAGAAGTTTTAAATTGTTCAGTGTAGGGAAATGTGAAAGATTACTTTTAGGTTGTATATTTCCACCAATTACACACTATTCTTCCTGAATAATTTTCTTTTCCAAGTATTATGATTGATTCTAAGATGATTTGTATTGGGTTTTTTTTTGTTAAACAGTTTTTCCGACATTAGGAGACTATAGTTGGTTTTAGCATCGAATGTCTTCTGGGATTTTCAATATTCATAAGCTTTGTTATATTCATAGCTTCATTGAATGCACTGCGCTTTCTGGTTTGTAAATAAGTTTATGTAAAGCTACAGCTTGTCAAACTAATCTTAGTAATCTTATGTATCTTATCGGAATTATTGAGAGAGCTTTAAGGATCTTGGTAACGGTATATACGATATTAGAATTAATAATCAGATAGTATATTTATATAGAATTAATCTCGTTATTTAATTAGTAAGGTGAGTTTAGATCACCAGTTCAAATGTTTTGGTCGTATTTTGTTTGTAAGGTTTCAGCGGCTTTTTATTGAGCACTTCTCTGATATCAGTATTGACCTGGAATAAGTGAAGCAGTGATAGGTTTATTGAATCATAGATGGTTATGTCAGCTTTGTATCTGTTGTTTGAAATTTCAAAAAGCACACCATTAGGTAGTTGAAAGTTGAATTATACATAATTTAAAATCGAAGCCAGTGGTTATCGTGTTATGATTTTTTTACGTCTATTAAATAAACAGTAAGGTGTCTTTCTAAAAGAAATAAAATCTCTCTGCGTTTTACTTTCATTCACAAGGTTTATATCGATAATTTTATTGTAACTATCATACTACGTTCCCTTTTCTGTTCCATGACATGTCATCACATTGTTTTGGGTAGTCATCTCATTTTATTTGGATTTTACATTGACAAAACAAACTATCTGGTATTACATTTATTTTCTCGTAGTTTCCTTTGATGTATTCTTCAACTTCTATGCAGGCATATCTATTCTTAGTTTTGTTCCGATTATTTTTCTGGTCACTTTTTGATTTTGTTACACTATTTATGAACCATAAATGAAATATGTAGTGTTACTACAAACTTGATGAGTATTTTCGGGATATACATCAACTATCATTGTTCGATGTTCCATCGGAGCCTCGACGCCTACACTGTTACTTTGAAGTATGCTGAAGTACTTTATAAAAGCTATTGTGGTACGGAAATATTTGACAAAGAACAGGTATACTCCACTTCAAGTGTTATTGTTTCTCTAAGGATGTTAAAAGATATTAGTTCATAAAATTGAGAAACTTTTGTTCTCAATTGATTACGTTAAAATTTAAGCTTCTTGGCTGTAAGATGCTCGAGATACAAGAAATCGATCATTAAATATATACTTGGCTAACATGACTTAAAGTCAATGACAGTGATGGATATGCATCTGTTTTTTTCAAAAATATTTTTCATTAGGAGGTATGTTAAGCTTATCCATTGTAAAGATAGTTACCATTCTAGACCAATGAGTACTGACTAACTGACAATCCTATCAGCGATCAAACTTAAAATATTCAAGTCTCGTGGTAGACACGTTACTTATTGACTGTTGAATTGGTTAACTATTTAATAGTTTATGATTCCAAAATCAACCATTTTTCATCAAAGCTTTGAACATGTTATCACTGCTAGAAATTTATTTGTTTCCAAGATATCTGATATTCTACTAATTCGTGGCCATTGTAGTTTTCTCCATTTTTTTATCGACCATGATAGTTCGATGTGTGACAATGTTATTGTAGTCACGATATATATTTGTATTTTTCTTTATTTCCCTTGATTAATTTTATTTCTCTACTTTTTAAAACATAAGGTGCTAATAATAGTCTTATGTGAATCCCTAGGTTCATATATGTAAACGGTCGTCTTCACTTAAATATTAGGAAATGTAATGGATTAATATATGTTCCATTAATCATCGATTTTGTTTCTTTTTCCTTCATTCGCATTCCTTTTGAAACAATTTCAGTCTTATTACTGAACAAGGTCTATGGGTATTGTTCGATTTTTCAGCTTAGATTATAAATTGACGTTAGTTAAATAGATAACCACGAAAAACTAGGGAGTAACTGTTTCGTCATAGTACGGAACTTTTCAGTCGTGAATATCCACTAAACCTTGGACTTCCAACCTTTAGACACATCGATGAGCGCTTAATCCTTATTCATTGAGTTCGAATTCACTGATTTACATTTCTAACTTCAATTGATTTTCGATATTTTATGATCATCATCCATTGGCATTGATCATACCTGTCTAAAGCCTAACATGATTTAACTCCATTGGTCATAGCTTCTCTTCCTTATAAATCAAACATTTCAATTATCATAAACTAACATTTTAAAGTTGATTTTAATTATTCTATGCTATTTACTAGTTGAATTGTATCTAACAATTTATTAGTGCTATCAATGTTGTAATCAGTAAAGAGGTGTATTTAATTATGTAATATATTTTCTGTAACTCAATTGGCTAGATTGTCAAGTTGTAACTTTATGTAAATGTACAAGACCCAAAAGAAGTTGCTTTCAGTTAATTCAAGGTTACAATACAGATTAGAATTGTAAAATCATACATATACTATATGTTGTTCTATTAAACAAGTATGAAGAGTTTTTTTGAGAGAGAGATATCTTAACTTCAATGAATTTTCAGTCAGTCAGTCAGTAACAACGTAGAACTTCGTACGTACGTACATCAGTTCGAGTTGTCATACCACATTAGCACAGAGATGCAGTTGTCGATTCAAATCCCGTAGTGGTAGACATAGTAACAGTATAAGCAGTAATCGGGAAGATTAGGGTTTGAAGATGTTATTCAAGGAGTATAATACAGTGAAATAAATTTGGAAAGAGAAAAAAGAAAGTGACATGAAGAATTCAGAAGATTAGAATTTGGGAGAACACAAAGAGTGTATGCACCTGAGCCATTGCAAACGATTTTGAGCCATGTCATTCAGGGTCTCTAACAATCGGTTGCTATCATCTCGCGGTCCCCAACCAGGTAGTCTACACTCACTAACATGATTCACTCCACTTGTCAATGACTTCATGGACTTGTGCCATGTTTTGGTCTGGCCGCCTCAATGAATTCTAAAAGAGATCATCAGTTCTCATTTATTTTTTAGCTGTTTGCAGATACATTTGAACTGAAAAATGAAGAAAAAAACTAACTGAAATCTTGGTTTCATAACTTAAAGAGTGTATATATTTATATTGATAATGATAATGATGATGATATGGGGAATATTTAATCAATAAAATATAGTGTCATATGATCTAGAAACAGAAATATAAACAAAATGGGAAAGAAAACGTTGACTTTTAAAAGTCCCAATTAATTTAAATCGATAGGGAAACAACTCATACTACTGTTGTTGTTGTGTTATTCTAAACAGATCCAGTAAATATTATAAAACCATAAGAAAATTGGGTTTGTTTTATGCAAAGCTACAGACTATTACTAATCTTTTCTGTGTACCAAATATTCTCTCTTTTTAAGGTGTATTTTATAAAAGTCTCTTTGACCCCCCATGATCCATTAATTCACTTTATTGATCTTTAATTTGACATCTACATAAAATTTTGAAGCAAATATAAAAATAATTGGGAAAGTGTTAAATAATTTAACATTTCAGTTTTGATACAACGGTAATCAGAGGAGTACAATGTGTAAATGTATTTACACGGGTGAAAAAAAATCATTCATATGTTCTGCTTACTGTATTTTCACTGCTATTTTTTTCCAACATTGAATCACAATATAAATTTCTGACATTTTGTGCCTTGATGTTTAACTCACTTAAATTTTCAAAACCAGTATTTTCAGAATGGAGATTTGTGAAGATTGTAGTAACTTTAATAGTTAAATTTATGAATCGATCTAAGCTAGACTACCATTGAATATCTGAAAGCACTGCACGACCGTCTCGTTCTAGTACGGGACTCCTCAACAGTGCTCATCTACGATGCCGCATGCACGACGCAAACACTTAACTTCTAGACCACTGAGCTATCATCTAATGGTGTTAATATCTAACTTGAATCGATCCATAATCTTGCCCAACCCTTCGTCCATTGTCTGAGGTGGATAACTGTCTCCACCCAACACAAAGGTAGTCTAGTTTAGATCGACTCATGAATTCAACTATAAAATTCAGTACC